TGAGCAACAGTGGACTGTCCGAATGTGACAATCGACTGTCAGCCCTCTCTGAAGTTTGATAATCGATTATCATCCCATTCTGAACATCAGACAGTAGATTATCAGAAGTGACAGTAGACTGTTTCCCTACACTATTGAAGAAAATAAAGCTAATAGTTAATAATTGAATTTCCTATCATATATTAATCAATTATTGTTTAGAAAACATGATTTTTGAACTATGGAATCCTATTTTTGATACCAATCAATTATGATAATATAAATATGATTTTGTACAATAAAAATGATGTTTTGACATATAAAGCATTATGTGATGCATGACGGTATGTTCGGGTGTTAACACTTGATGCTAGGCCACTATTTGTTATTAAATATTATGATGATTGTTTGATTATGGATTGTGATGAATTAATGATGATGAATATTCTGAATGACGACCATGAATTATTAAATTGAGAATAATGAATCAATGAATCGTATTGTTAAGGTTACTTAGAAGACCTCTAAGATAGACCTCTGATTAGAATGGGCCTTGCGGGTATAATTATGTATATTCGATGGCCTTGGCTAAAAACGTACGTACGGGATCCATAAACCAAACTAGAGGAACTCGTTTGGGGATACCACCCGACCCGAAAGTTAGTATTCTACTGTTTGGTTTTCTGGATTTGTACCTTAAGCGAAGGCTAGTTTAAGAGTTGGTAAATCAATCGGAAATATGTACCTTAAACTAAGGACCTAGCTTAAGAGTTGGTTAGAAGTACCTTAAACTATAATAAGTTTAAGAGTTGGATAAAAGTACATTAAACTAGAATTAGTTTAAGAGTTGGATAGTAGTACCTTGAACTAGAATTAGTTTAAGAGTTGGTAAAACATCAAAAGATTGGCCTTAGACTAAGCATAGTTTAAGGATATTGTTGAATATTGAATATTGAATATGAATGTTGATTATTGAATATCATGAGTGTATTTATATATTGTGTGCATGATATAAAATGTTTGTATGTGAAATGAGATTCAATTTATGTGGATGTTCGACGCTTTAGATATGCTTACTCAGCTTCACCGCTGAGCGTGTAGTATGTTTTATTTACTACACGCAGGTTAATAGAAAGAATGATGTGACGTGATTCTGGAGGCAGACGGAGGCGAGATTGTCGAAATGGATGTGATGGTTTTGAATTAAAGAACATAAATAAATTATGTTTGTAATTATGATTTGTTAAGCTTCCACAATATTGAAAACTCCGCACTGTATGTGTTATGAAAAATATTATCGTGATAAATAAAAGAGTTTGAAAAGTTTTAAATTTTAGGATTACCAAGTTAATACTTTAGTCCGAAAGGGGCTACAGACCTGGACGGATTAGGGTGTTACAGATCTCATAATTGTGCAAATTTATGTTGATGATATTATTTTTGGGTCAACTAATGAAGCCTTATGTAATGAATTTTCAGGAATTATGACAAGAGAATTTGAAATGAGTATGATGGGTGAGTTGAACTTCTTCCTTGGACTTCAAATCAAGCAACTTGGAGATGGTATTTTCATTAGTCAAACCAAGTATGCCAAAGAATTGGTCAAGAAGTTCAACCTTGAAGACTCAAAGACATACCCAACTCCAATGAGCACATCCTTAAAGCTTGACAACGACGAAAGCGGAAAACCCGTAAATGAAAAGGTATATCGAGGTATGATTGGTAGTTTACTTTATTTAACTGCATCTAGACCCGACATCATGTTTTCCGTTTGCCTTTGTGCTCGTTTCCAATCATCACCTAAAGTATCACATCTAAATTCCGTCAAGAAAATAATTCGTTATGTCAAGGGAACGACCAATATGGGTTTATGGTATCCTAAGAATACGAATTTAAGCTTAATAGGTTTTAGTGATGCCGACTTTGGAGGGTGTCGTATTGATCGGAAAAGCACAAGTGGCACATGTCAATTCATAGGTCATGCACTAGTGTCTTGGTCATCTAAGAAACAACACTCTGTCGCCCTATCCACCGCCGAAGCGGAATATG